GGGATTGAACCGCGGTCCCTGATGCCTTGCCAAGCTTGTTCCAAGTAGGTGCTTTAGACCACTGAGCCATCTCTCCAGCCCCGCATCTCAGTATTGTTTTAACTTGAATTTCTCTAGTACCCAGTGATGCTGAACATTTTGTTATATATTTATTGGCTGTTTGTACTTTTGAGATGTGTCTATTCATTTGGGTTGTATATTTTTTAACCGAGTCTAGTTTGGGGACGCTATAATTTTTTGAGATCTACATGTATTTTAGATATGAATCCTTTGTCTGAGGTATAGCTTGTAAATTGTTTTTCTATTTTGTAGATTGTCTCTTGACTCTGTTGCTTGTTTCCTTTGCTGTGTGGAAATTTTTAAATTTGATCATATTTATTGATTCTGTTTTTTTTTTTAACATTCCTAAAATGGTTATTTATTTATTTTTTGGTATTTAGTGCAGAGTCTACAGGGATTACAGGGTCTCACTACACAGATCGGACTTGCGATTCTCCTGTTTTCAGTTTCTCAAGCGCTGGGATTACAGGTGTGCTACCACACCTAGTCTCAGTCACCCTTTTAGCAAGCCCCAGGAGTGAGGCTGGCAAGGCAGCTCTGGGATCAGATCTCAACCTCTGCGTCTGCCTGAGCAGGCGCTTTAATCTGCTGAACTATCTGACCAGCCCCTTAAAATGATTTTTAATGTACATTTGATTCATCCACTTGGTTATTATCTGTGTCATCTAAATCAATGTCAAAATCTAAGTCATCATTTTCATTCCTCTTGCAGCTTCTTCTATGATTGGATCTTTGATTATTTTCACTACGTTCTGATTCATTATCACACAGAACAACTATGTCCTCTTTCTTTCCACATTTTGCACAAACTTCCAGTTCACAGGCACATAGTGTACACATTATGTGGTAAGATCCTTCACAGTCTTCTGTAACATTTAACACACTTTTTAGGCTTTGATAATGGTTTATTTTTGTTATATTTTATCTACCACTCAAGAACTTCTTTACAATGCTGACATACTCCATCATGAAGTTTTGCATTAATAGTTCTTGGTCTGAATACTTATCAAACATGTCATCTTTGAAGCTAAACATATTCTGGTGATTCTGAGGTCTAGACTGAGCAACATTGCCTTTCTGGGAGCTCATCACTGAAATCGCTGCCCCCTGGCATCAGGTGTGGCGAAGCAATCCCCCACTTGTTGATTCTTAATTTTTTAAAAATTTTTCATTGTATTTTAGGAAAGGGTCTACAGGGTGTTCAGGGTCTCACTACTAGACTGGACTCGCAGTGATTCTCCTGTTTATAGCCTCCCAAGAGCTGGGATTACAGGCATGTGCCACTATTCCCAGTCTCAACTGCCATCTCAGCGTGCCCCGGGGGCAGGGCTGGCACAGCAGGCCCAGGGATGGAACCCCTGGCCCCTGCACCTGCTTGCAGGTGCTTTAATTCACTGAACTTTGGCCGGCCCTCTTAATGTTATTTCTTGTGCAAATGGGGTTCTGTTCAGAAAGTCTTTGCTTATGCCTATGTTTTCAACTGTTTTACCTATTTTGCCTTCAAACAAATTGTCTCAGTTTTAACACTTAGATCTTTGTTCCACGTTGCTTTTAATTAACTACAAAGTGAGACATATGAGCAGATGAGGCTACATTCATATAGACAGCCAGTTTTTCGCAGCAGTATTTATTGAAGAGATTATCTTTCCTCCAATGTATGTATTAGGCCCATTCGCGAAAGGTCAGGTAGCTGAATGTGCCTGGAGTCGTATCTGCATCCTTTATTCTGTTCCACTGATGCATGAGTGTGTTTCGTGCCAGTACCATGCTGGGGTTTTTTTTTGGTCAAAAATCAATATAGCTTTGTAATATATAACTTGAAATATGAGATTGTGATGCCTCCTGCTTGGCTTTTGTTTTCCAGGACAGCTTTTGCTATTCTGGTTCTATTCTGGTTCCATATAACTTTTAGGATTGTTTTCTCTAGTTTTGTGAGGAATGTTATTGATACATTAAGTGGGATTACATTAAATTTACATACCAGTTTTGGTAAAATGGCCATGTTGACAATCCTCATTCTGGTTTTCCAGGAATAGGTGATATTCTCTGATGTCTTCTTTGATCTTCTTTTTCTGAGTAATGTAGTTTCTACTGTAGAGATCTGTTGTTTCTGTAGTTAGGTTAATTCCTAAGTAATTTTTCTTGAATGATTTTGTTTTCTTAATTTCTTCCTTGGTGGGTTTAGTATACAAGGATGCTATTGATATTTGTGCATTGATTTTGTACCCTGCTACCTTGCTTAATTTATTAGTTCTAGAAGTGTTATGGCTTGGGGCTAGCCCTCCCCGCAAAGCCTCATATGGTCATAAGTGGGGCTTTTCAGAGATAGCTGGATTTGATTGATTTGGCATAGCTCTAGGTAGGATTAAGGGTGCCCCACGCTGGGTATGAGTGCTATGCACCCTACTGGTGGGTAACCTGGATAAGGATAAGCGGTAGAAAGAGGGTCCCTTTGTTGCTCACTGCTGCTTGTTTTCTGCTGCTGCCTGCTCTGTGATGCCCCTCTGCCATGCCACCCTGCCTTGGAGCCAGCCAATTATGGACCGAAACCTCTACAAACTGAGCCAAATGGACCATTCCTCCTTTAACTTTGGGTGTTGAGTATTTTGTCCCAGCAATGAGAACTCTTTTGGTAAAGATAAGTCTTTCTGTGGAATTTTTTTTTTTTTTTTTTTTATGTGAAGGATCAAGTCTTCTGCAAATAAGAATCGTTTCCTATATATTTGTCTCAGTTGCTCTTCTCTCATTGGTGGGACAGATACCTGACACCCAAAATGAAGGAAGCAAAGGCTTATTTAGCTCACAGTTACTGGAGGTTTCAGTCCATACTCAGCTGACTCCGAGGCAGAGTGGCACACGGCAGAGAACAACCTTTCGTGGCAGTGGCAAAGAGCATAGAGAGCAAAAGGGAGGAATAATAGCAACAATAGCTCCAGAGAGCAAGTCTGCCTCCCTTAAGTTGCATTCAGGTGATCTACCCCAGGCTGTGTAGCACTCACACCCATAATCCCAGCAGCACTCACACCTATAATCCCAATGGATCATGAGTTAATCACAAACTCTAGAAGTCCACTCCATGATTGCATGAGGCTTTAGGGGACAACTAGACACAAACCGTAACAATATTCTTTTTATT